ATACCACCACAACTCCCGACACGATGGCGTGCATTTCAATACTTGGAGTATGTGTTATACTATCTTATAGTCTGGTGGAATATTGGATATATTTGATAAAAATAGAGTTTACTCAAATTCTGAAAGGCTTTTTAAAGTTTAATTAAAATCTTTTGCAGTTGAGATGAAGTAATGAAATGCTTGTGTTGAGTAGAATTAAAATGGATGATTCCCATCATGATTTCATTACAGTAGGTTCAAAAGCTGCTACAGAACAGCTAATAAAAATAACCAAAAAATGGCATCACCTAAATTGTATATACACATATCTCAAACAAAAAAAAAATCTGATACTGTATATATATATAATAATTTTGTTCATAATGATTTTTCTTGCTTTTTTTTCTACACATTGTTTTCAGAACACTCGGTCCATAGGCATGATTACTAGAAAACTGTACAATCATCTAGGCAAAAACTAAACTTAAATATTAATTAAATTAAATTAAATTATATCATATATAATTTCATACAAAAATGTGCAAAACTGGAACTAAATATTGACCTAAAATGTTTCGTCTAAAAGTCTAAAGCAATCATATTTTACCCATTCTTTCTAAAAAAGAAATTAGAATCTATTCAGCTGGAATGTCACTGTTAATTCACATTCTATGATTACAATTTATACCACAATTTTTATTACTCAACCTGCAATAATTGAATAAAATATGTGTTCTTATTTCACAAACTATATATACATTATTATGCAGTTCATAATTAAATGGCGTATCAATGGAGATATGGGTGTTCTAGGATTCCCTTCTACTTCAGATGACCTACATATTTTTATGAAACAATTTGTTCTCAGCTCAGTAGAATTAGCCATCAAAAATGACAAACATTTCAGATTTTGATACCACCACAACTCCATTTATCCACTCTTATCATTTCTTTTTAAACCCTGTTGTAGTAAAGGCAAGCTTGACACTCCCATAAGAGAAAACTAAACTCAATGAATATTATACACTTTACTACATATGACATTCACAAGCAGTTCAGGAGGGATTCTGTTGATATGAGGTCCAACCTAGCACCTAGCAACCTAGCAACCTAGCATTACTACTTCACATCATATTGATTCGGTGTCAGTCTCACAAGGCCCACTTACTGACTATAACTACTCTACAACACCTTTAACAATTAACTTCATACTTAATGGTGATTGTTGACAGTACAGTACCTTATATTATTTTTGATAATTTACAAAACAGGTGAAAAATCTTTGACATAGTTTTTTTCTTAGCACTGTAATATACAATAATATTATATTCATTTCATTGATAAGCTGGATTAATGGTCAAGTAAAAAACCTCCTCTTTAAGTGAGACTGGCATCCAGTAGGCATTTCTTGTGCAGATAAGAGCATCATCTGTAAGGGTTGTGTAGTGATTCTGAATACTACCAATATGTACAATCATTATAATATATTCAAGGTTTATGCACTATCTACATCAGTCTCCCTCCTTTAAAAATGTTTAAATAATTTCAATCATCAGTCACCTTGTGAATAAAGAAAAATAAAGTACTGTTAGAAAATACAAATCTACAACACAAATGCTGATAAATTACCCCCCAAAAATCTCATAGTTTGTATTACTTGTAAAACCCAACTCTTATATTTAAGGCAAAAAATATTGCAAAAATGGATCATTCCTGTATCAACCATTCAAGTCTAATATTTGTATGTTGTCAGCAACCATCTACCATTCACAATACATCGTTTGATCAACCATCCATCACCTGGCTATTCGTCTGCTGTTCATCATTTATTCCTTTCCCAGTTTATCTTTGCCTGCTTCCTTTTTCTTTGCTAGTCATACATGAATTAGTTTTTCAGCTGTTTGTTCTCTTCTGGCACGAGGACGTCGCTTTGGGCAGCACTTGCGTTTCAAAGCCAAAAGCTACGGTGCAAAAGAAAAAATTATTTTGAGTCAACATATTTCTCTTTGCCTGTACAAAATAAATACATCCCAAGGTCTCGCATCTTGATGGGCTGAGATGCTGATACTCTTTCAGGATGTGTTTTTGATATTATATGACATTCTGAAAATGTATGAGAATTTGTTAGACCATCAGTGGGAGATCCAGGAATTTGAAAAAGAGGGGGCCCAGGGAGGGACTTGGACAGATGGAGGGTCAATGCCACCTCAGCACAACCATGGCTGGAGCTGAGGTAAGAAAATTTACGATTATGTCACCTCGAGATGGCCAGAAATGGCACTCTCAGACTTTGAATCAGCCACTGACCATGCAAGCATGCCATATTAATTAATCTATCCTATCATACTATTATTTCTTACCAAAAATATAAATACCAGAATGCATCACTAAATATAAATATTCACCTGGTTAGAACAAAAGGACATAAATGCAAAGACGACTAAAGCAGACAATGAAAGATGTGTCCAAAACCGAAGCCAATCACGATAACGCCTCCTGCAATGTAAAAGTAAATTTATGGTGATAATATTAGATAGCACAGATGTGCAAAATATTATACTACATTTTTATTCTATTATATAGAATGTATTCCTCATACCACACTATGAAATACCTTGATAAAAAAAAGCATGGAATCCACACACATGCCAACAACACTCCTGCTTTAACATATTCCAAAATAAAATCAGGCCATGAGCTGTCAACAATCATAAATGAATTGCAGGAGAAAATAGAGAATTAAAACTTACCATGTATAAAGTTCATCCATATGGAGGAAGCGGTTCCGGTATTCCTGAGGAAGTTCAAATTGTGAGGGAATGGGGAACAGAGACTCATAGAAGTCTTGTAAAACTGCTTTCACCATCTCTGCATCTTTTAAACTATGGTCAATGTTATCATTCAGACATACAAATTTCCTGGAAATCAGAAATAAAATCTTTAAACATTTGTTGTCCACATAACAGATGATGTAATGTGGTTCATTTTTTACAGAGGTAAGGGGGTAAGGGGTTTTACTTGCAATACAACAAGTGCCTTAAAGTTGTTTTTAACATTATAAATTCATGAATTTTATAAAAACATTGAATTACATTTGAACTTGCCTAATTCCAATCTAAAATGCCATTGAAATATTGTTCAACTTAGATAAAATTCGACTTACAGGGTTGTTAATTAATGGAACACAACAATTTGGCATGTAAAATAAAATCGACTTAGGATTTATTCGACTTAGGCAAGTTTAACTGTACTGCAAAAACAATTTTTATGAGATATTTTCACTTTACTTTGGGTTCTTTCTGACATCATCCAGTTGACCTATGACATGTGATACATTAGTGCGAATCATCTTGAATGCGACTTCATCATCATTTAGAATTTCATGCCTGTAAAAACAAATAAAAAGCAAATCTTTATAATATTTACCAATTACTCATAATTATTTACTCCATGTCACTTCCATGTATATTTCACCAAATTTGCATTGTCTTACCTGTATTTGTTCTTGGCCTTAAATGTTTCGTTCATCCTGGCAACAAGTGGTTTACAGTGTTCTACCAACCCTAGAGTAACTTGAGGCTTAAAGTAATGTGAATGATAATAAATTATCATATAAATAAAAATTAACAATGGCAATACAATTACTAGTTCTAGTATCATAGACAGATTCAGAAAGAAAAACAGAAAACCAGAGACTAACAGTTGATTAGGATACAGTCAATCGCAACTGGTTATTTATCCTGCCACTTGTCTACAAGATAAACCTTGCAATGTTATTCCAAATTCATTCAAATGTTTCAAAAGCTTTAATTGCCATTTTGTGCTAAAAAATTTTCTTGTCCCACAATGGTCCTAGCATGTTTACAATTTACATTTCTAATTTTGATTGCCTAGAATCTTTTTATATCATCATTAAACCATACCATAGTATTAGCTTCATAATATAGTTCCATTTTATCCTCAGGTACAAATCCTTGCAGTTTCTTTGGAATGTGTTTTGAGCAGTTAATTAACTGATGTTCCAATGAGGTCAAGGTTCGTAGGTCCAGCGGCAGGTCAAAAATCCTTGTTGCTAGGGTGCGGATCTCTCGATCAGATAAAATTCTAAGGCAGAAAAAATTGGTCAGTTGATTAAAAAAAAAGTGCTCTAACAATTTGCGAAAATATATGGCATGCCTTGAGCTTTCCGTGTTGATTATAGCTTAAAGGTCCTCATCTTGCATTCCCCACACATATCTCTGTGATGTTATGCCTAGTAAGTAGGTAATGTTTATTCATACTTGTATTGTGTAAGATTCTGATTTTGACTGTAAAGATCTACCAAGAGAGCTATCCATGTTAAGTTCAGTAAAAATCTACCATGGTGTGAGATGGAGTGACTTACCCTGAGCTATCTGTGTCAAATTCAGCGAATATCTCAGAGATGTTAACCTCTTTTGTTTGACTCATCATGAAATACATAAAAGAAAAAGCAAACTGCATATCCTGAGAATGCCGCAGCTGATGAGAAGATGTCGCTTCAAATTCATCTTCAAACCTGAAGGAAAATGATCAATTTAATTAAAAATGAAATGCTACATGATGTTACATGATAAAAATTTAATAATTTTTATATTATTTTTTATTTAAAACATCTTTATACAGGATAACATTTCAGAATGAACTGTTTTTCAAATGGTCCTGTATTTGACCAAATAAAAAACTGATTTAAAGAGATAAATAAAAACATTGAAATATAAGAATAAAAAAAGAACAATCAACTTTCGAAATACAAGAAAAATCACCAATCAAAACAGTAAAATATAGAAAAAGGTCGATATATTAAAAATATATCCTCCCACCTATCATTAAAAAAAAAGCTTTTTATATTGTAACATCGAAATATAAGAATGAAAAATCAACAAGGAATTTTCGAAAGACAAGAAAAATTACTAGTCAAAATAGTAAAATATTGAGTAATGTCAATATATTTTTAAAATATGCTTCCATCAATCACTGAAAGAAATGCTTTTTATATTGTGATGTAAAACTATTTATGTACGTTGATTTTTGAATAGAAAATGGTGTTTTTTTAGAATTTTTATGCGAAATGAATTAAAGAGAAAATGGTAATTATGTTGATAGTTAATGGCGGTTATCATTTTAATTTTATGATTACAGTGATGGTAATGAAGATGATGACAAATAATAAGAATAATAAATCAGCACACAAGAAGAATTCACTTATACACAACACCTAAATATCACATTGTAATACAGCTACAAACAGATAAAATAGCTAAAAATATATGGCTTGGATTGGATTGGATATTCGGTGTAAACACCAAGGATAACCCATTTAAGTCTGAAGAAGACTTATTTCCAATGGGGTCTTTTGGTGGTGATTGGGCAGTACACCGGGAGACAATCCTCTACTCTTTTCCGAAGAGTGTACTGCGTTCTTTAACGTGCACATGGGCCATAAATGCACACGGGACCAACGGCTTAAACGTCTCATCAGAAAGACGGTGTGCTATCGTAACTTGCATTTTAGCCCTCCAGCTGAAATACAACGAGAGCAGCGATGGGAATTGAACCGGGGACCAAGAGATCTCAATGGTTCAGCGCACACACAGTGGCTACTACAATATTGCATTGAAAACAAATGTAAAAATACATTCTAATTGCATCTATGCACAATGATAATGATGATAACAATAATGACATCAATGACTATTCATTTAATATCTACATACTCATCTTGCAACTCATTCATGATGTCAACATCGATCATGTGCGGCATATGAGCTGGTACTTTACGAGCATTGAATCCGAATCGATGGTTGTACAGCTTATTTACGTGACGTAGCGAGTTTCCAAACGTATCAAGGAGGTTCCGACTCCCCAATCCACTTGGCGTTTCCCACTCCTTCTGCTTCTCTATATTCTCCACTCGCTTCAGAGCCAAAATAAAAATGGTTTGGAATGTTAAAATACATTAAAAACAATTTATCCAAATAAGCACAAAAAGTTTAGTCTTCATCGTATAAAAGCCCAAAGACTTCCTGATTACTGAATAATTTCCCTTCCAACTCGGCTATGATTCCAAGCTAGTATATCCCTTTAATTGTCCCAACAATTATATCTTTATGATATCACCATCATCACAGAATATTTTGAATTATTCAGCAACAACATCATCATTATCATAATTGTTGACGGTTACCATTATCATTTAAAAATTTACCTTGATTTCTTTTGCAAATATTTGTGATTTTTCCCATGGTAGAAAGCTTCCTTCCAAATCAAACTGATTTCTTTGTTTGGCTAATTTGTCCAGTTTTGTTTCATCAGCATCAGTACTAAATACATTTTTCAAGGGATCAAACAACTCTGCTGCCAACACCTTTTTCTTTGCAGCAACATCAAGTATATCAGATTTAGCTGATGCTTGCAATATCCTCATCTTAACTAATTTTTGAGAGTGTCCCTGAAGATTTGAATGCATATTTCCTTGCTCTAGGTGAGGTATATTTCTATGTTTGTTTGTCACTGGTTCTATTAGTTCTAATGGTATGGCAGAGACATTTGCATGTGATGCTGAATCAGATAAGCTTTCTTTGAGTTCAATGAATAAATTATCCTCTATACTCCAGGTAGCAGTCTGTTTTACTAAAAGTCTCCTCATTGCAGGAGCATTGTCTTTATTTTTATAGTTCTCTTTTTTCTGCTCAGTATCTTCTTTCAATATATTTTTCAAATAATCATCATATTCAATGTTAACTTTATCTTTCAAAGGCTGAAATTCTTTATGAACATTTTCTTCTTTTATCTTGTTATCAAAATTATTCATCTGAAATGTATCTTGATTCAAAGCAGCCTGGAAATTCAGCTTCTGATTATTGACATCATCATCCCTTTGTGGAATAATTGCATCATCCTTTGCCAGGTTTTTGATCTCCTTTCGTACTAGATCAGCCTTGACCAATTTCTGGGCTGGTGCCTCTACAAAGTTATCTGGTGCTTCTTTTTGTAAATTTTTAATGCCATCTGCTTGATGACCTTGCAATGACTTTTCATGTGAATGCCCACCAACACCATCAAAACTCTTCTGAAGTTTAACTGGAGGTGGTTGGTTTAAGCTTTGGGCTCCTTCATAACGGTCCTTGACCCCACCCATCAACTTCTGTTGTTCAAGCGGATGTTGTGGTTGGTTTAAACCTTTAGCTTTTTGTAAATGGTCACTAAACTCACCCAACATCTTCTGTTGATCAGGTGAAAATTGTTGTAGGTCGAGATCCTGGGCTCCCTGAAACTGGGCCTTGATCCCACCAATCATCTTTTGTTGTTTAAGTGGAAGTTGCTGTTGGTTTAAACTCTTGGTACCTTGAAGTTGGTCTCTAACCCCACCCATCACAATCTGTTGTTGCTGAATTGGGGGTTGTTGTTGGTCTACACCCAGTCCATGAATCTGGTCAGCAGCCTCACCCAACATCTTTTGTTGATGAAGCGGAGGCTGTTGTTGGTTCAAGCCCTGGGCTCCCTTAAACTGTCCATCAATTCCACCAATTTCCTTTTGTGGCTGAGTTAAGTGATGCTTTTGTTGGTTCAAGACATGGGCTCCCTGAAACTGTCCATCAATTTTGCCAATTGCCTTCTGTGGCTGAGCTAAGTGAGGATGTTGTACGTTCAGGCCCTGGGCTCCTTGCAACTGTTCATTAATCCCGCCAATCACCTCCTGTGGCTGAGCTATGTGAGGCTGTTGTTGGTTCAAGACATGGGCTCCCTGAAACTGTCCATCAATTTTGCCAATTGCCTTCTGTTGCTGAGCCAAGTGAAGCTGTTGTTGGTTCAAGCCCTGGGCTCCCTGAAACTGGTCATCAATTCCACTAATTGCCTTCTGTGGCTGAGCTAAGTGAGGCTGTTTTTGGTTCAAGACCTCAGCTCCCTGAAACTGTCCATCAATTGCCTCCTGTGGCTGAGCTAAGTGAGGCTGTTGTTGGTTTAAGTCCTTAGTTTCCTGAAAGTGATCACCAACTGCTCTATTTTGTCCAACATTTCCTAAATCATCTAGCTGGATTTTATCTTGAATATTGTTCTGTAAATCAACTTCATCATTCACAGGAATAAATTGTTTTCTAAAGTGGAATTCTTCTTGATTTTCCTTAGATTTTTGTGAATGTGCATCTTTTTGTTGAAGGTCATTTTTGCCAGTGTTTTTATTTAAATCATGCTGTTTTTTCTCTGTTTTTGATAATGGTGGCTTTTTCAAATCACTTGCTAGGTAATTCTGTATGAGGGCAACCTTTAGTTTGTTGAAACCTTTTTCAGTCAAGTCACCTGAAAATGTACATAAAAAAAGTAAACAAAATTTGGTATAGCATTAAATATTATGTATAATAAATTGTTCTCTATGTTGGGTTATATAGTGTACTGGGGGCAATGCTGGAGGCATTGCACATCTCACCAGGAAGTTCAAGTTATTTTTTTTATTGCTCCAGACCAGCACTGTTGAGATATAGTGTACAGATAACATGTGCTGGAGGCACTTCATCAAGGCATACATTTATGGTTGTGGGTACAATTTCTTTTCCAGGCCTGATGGAGACCATGGTTGTATCCAGTTGCAAAGATTAATACAGTAATATGAGCTTGATTATCATCATTACTATAATATACAATATAGATGCTTAGAAAATGGCAACTGGTGTAATCTCAACTGGTGTACCAAAAATATAAAATCATGTTTTCAGAACTTACTATCATTAAATTGTTTTTCCAGTTTCTCAAGTTTCTGCTTTAAATCAGGAGGAAGATGTCTGTTTCCGAGATCTGGTACAGTCTTCTCTGAAACCTCTTTGATAATTGCATTTGGACCACTATAAAAATTCAAACAATTAGTTCATAACATGATAATTATAATAATAATAATAGTAAAAATAAATGGCAACCAATAACAGAAGTAGTAGGTAAGCACATTTCTTTATTTCTTTATTTCAAAATATCCACAAATCACAGTAGAAAAACTGAAATGCTTGGGATTGACATTTTGCATATAATATAAAAGACTATCATATAAAAAGACAAACAAATTTAACCAGGATGACACAATGATGCAGATTTAGACTTGACAAAACATACAATAGAGTACGTAGCATTTTACTAACATGAGACTTGAGTCAACATCTTCAAATGTAAAAGCAGTGTCTTCCTCTGTCACGTTCACAGAGTTGTTCTTCAGAAGGATCACTGCTCTCTCCTCTACAGGTTTTGTGTTCACTGTCACATTAAAGGTTACCTTGACAAAAGATGAAAACATAAAGAATTATCTGGTGACTGTAAGAAGTAAAAAAAAGAAATGTCTAAAATATTTGTTTTGTTTACACCTAACGTGGGTGATCCTGCAGTGAGGCTAATTACTTTTGGACTCTCAATCATCTATAACTAATCAGTGGAGAGCTGATCAGTTGGGGCCTTTGATGCTTTATACCAAGTTTTCTTTATTTATTTCGGCATTCTTATATGGCACTCTACAAGCTTGGGGAGAATGGAGAGCTGATTGCGGCTATATTAACAAGTATCCATATTAGGCAAAGGGAACGAAGAGTTGACCAACTCTTGATGCTCTATTAAACCAAGTATTTTTATGAGAAGATTTTGAAAAGATTAAACTTTGGAAATTAAATTAAAATTAGGTTGAATGTATAATTGATGTCAGGTTGAGATATTCCATATTAATTTAATTGGCAGAGTAATGTCAACTTGTAGGGATGATTTGTTTTCATTCGCAAAAGTTTGTCTTGATATGCAATACTCACTCTTTTGTAAAAAAAAAAAGGTAAAGGAATCTCAGACAGTGTCAGTACTATTTTACATTATTCTGAAAATTGTTATGGTGACCTCCAGGGGATTTCTATCTCCTTTTTGATGTCTTATGAGTTATTTTACTGGTACTGTGTCAGATTCCATTTCATGAATTGTTGTTCTGGGTTGATCTGGTTGATGGATGGTTTTTTTATTCGATATTTGTTTGTTTTTCTGCTGCATTTTCTCTGTATTTTTGATGCTCTACTTGGAGGTGTTTTTTGAATAAATAAATAAAAATAAATTAAAAAATTACACAGCTTACATTTAATCCAGTTCCATCAGACTTGGTCCCCTCTAAAAAAAATGAAATACTTCGTTCTGTGAAGTTCTTGTATAACAGTAAATGCAGTGTTTTGAATTTTTGTGCAATAGTTCCTGTGCGAACGACTTTATCTTTACCATAGTAGCCATCTGCGATAGTACCGTTACTTCCAAATAAGGTTGTTACATTAAAGTATCCCACCATACTACCTAAAAAAGACAAGATTATCACCACAAAATAAATCAAAGTAGATATTAACATAGAATCTGAGCCATTAGTTTTGTAAATTTAAGTTGGAATTCATTGCAATCGACCTTTCTGGAAGCCCACCCCTTGGGTATTGTTGCTAACCATGGAAACATGTGCATTTGTGGGACGATACATTTTTGTGGACAAGTGCATATTCCTGAACCTGTCCTGCTGTGTTAGGTTATTATATAGAAACACAATAAGTGAAGGTCGAAACCTGAAGCTCTGGGCTCACAGGCCAGAGTGCCCGTCTCTCATTCCGTGGCGTTTGGACCAGACTGTGCAAGGCTGTCGGAGGTTCACCACTCCTCCCGCACTGCAGTCTGTTTTACCTTCCCAGCATATGCCAGTACCCATTTATACACCTGGGTGGAGAGAGACAAACGTGAATAAAGTGTCTTGCCTAAGGACACAAGCGACTTGCACAGCGAGGGTTTTGAACCCCGACCTCAAGGTTGAGAGTCTGAGCTACAACCGTTGCGCCAACTGCTTCTACAAAGGCACAATATCCGAGAAGAATGGCTGACAAAGGGTTCAGGTCCAGCAGAATGCATTGCATAATTAATCAAGAGTTTAATTTTGGTCTCTTAACGAGTACAATAATTTATATATTCTGAGCAGTAGTGATTAAAGGGAATCATTCATTTAATTTAATTTGTCTTTCGATTTGTGGAATCATCCATTAATCTATGTGAATAATCTTAGCCATATCTGTTATGACATCATCCTTATATGAATCGTCACCTAACCAACAAACATGATATAATTTCATTCATACCTCGTGGCATTGTGACCACCTGGCCAGAGTACTTGATTTGAGCCGAGAACAGTCGATGCAGGTTCCTTGATCCACAGTCTCCAGCGTCAAATCCACATTCAGGAATGTTACAAGACTGAAATTTTGGAATATAAACCTACTAAAGCTCTGTACAGATTATCAAATACTCTTTGACAACAAACTGTTGTCTGGCTCTGGATATGGTTGGGTCGGTAGGTTCAACCTAGGTTGTACTTTCACCAAAATGTTGTATACCCATATATAGTCATGATGTGCCTATATATGGTCATGATGTGATGTCACCATGACCATTGGTATGTCACATGCTTTCGTGAAAGAAAGTATAAATCTGGATAGGGCTTGTCAGAAAATAGGACAGTTCAGTGTGAGTGTTTGTGTAGTGCAGTGAACTATTGAGATCCTTTAAGCTAAACTTGTGTTGATTTGCGAATTACGTAGTTGCCAGTCGTGCTCAACTTAAACTATAATTGAGCAACTACACAAGTAAATAAGTAGAACTATTTGCCAAAAGTGTATCATTTCTGACTGTAGGTTATATACAACTATTTTGCCATAATTTTGATGAATAAAGAACAATCTGAACCTGAATCTGAATAATTTGTTAGCGAGAGTGGCACTGGTGGCACGTGCAGTTAAACTAGAGTTGGGTTACTACTGTCACATGACGCATTTCAATTGCTTGTCAGCTGCATTTGACAACAGAAAATAAAATATAGGCAACCGAATGCAACTGAGAGCAATTGGCTATTTTTCACTTTCCTTTGTTCACAAAAGTGCTCATATCATTCCAAATGCCAACTTAAGCTCAGTTTTAAGGGCTATTTCAAATGTGAATTTTTTCAATTTGTCTTCAAGGTGATAAAATTTAACACAATGTACCACGTTGCTATCAATTTACATTAAAATAACAAAGAGCACTAAATGACATGCAAGTCTACCAACTAAGAATCCATACTTGAACTTAATTGAGAATAAATAAACAATTCTGACCTGGTCACAATACTTGTCAGCAATCCAACCATTTGCACAGCCTGTGTTACAGTATACTAAGAATACACAAAGGAATAAAAAAAAAGTAAATCATCAAGTCCAAAAATTAGGATCTAGCTGTGAACGATGGATCTATCTGGCACATGTTACAATAGTGTGAAGTGAATTATATTATTATTATTATTAGATGATTTACAATATGGCACCTTGTGATTTTGACTAAGATTTAGTAATCACAGAATTATATCCAAAAAAAATGGGCCAAAGCTTGACACATTTTATCTTCCTTACCAATATTAGAGACAAAACATATTGTACGTCCAAACAATAAACAGACTAGGAGGTCACAATTTTAATATCTAAATATATAAGTAACGTTTTGATATATTTAAAATCAAACTTTTATTGTCAATAAATGGTTGAGAGACTCAAAAAACATTTGATAGTGCACTTTCTGAGCATCTAGAGATACTAAATTCTAAAATCCATGATGAGGCTGAGGTTGGTTTGGTCCGTTTTGTCTACCAAATCAATGAAGCTTTCAACACTGTATCATAACTTATGTACAAATTAAAGTCTATTTATTTTTGGCTACTTACTTTGCTCCAAAGCAGTTCCACCAGCACCACCATAATATCCCCCAGCACTAGCATGGACTCCTACAGCAAAGCAAAATCCATTTAAGATTGTGATCAAACATCAACACAATAACTATCATTCTTTTATACTTAGTCGAATCTTCTACAATAAGTTGACTCATTTGCTTGATACATTAGGATTTACTTTTTATTATTTGTAATATTAATAATTACACAATTCAGAGAGCTCTGTTGAAATTTCTAATAACACTAACACTTTACCTTTGCAGTCTCCACCATCCCAGTCACATTCTGAATTATTGCAACTTTTGTCACAGTAATTATCCCTGATCCAAGAGGATGGGCACCCCTCTGCACAATTTGGAACAGGCCAAGTCAAGTAAACCTAAGATAAATCATTTTAGGCAAAGTATAAAATCTAATGTGATAGCAAGCAATGATAATGATAATATCTATCAATAAATAAAATTCAAAAAGTATAAAGTAGAAGAGAATTAAAGCCACTCTTTACAAACTTGTTGTCTACAAAAATGTCTATTGTTACATTTTGCTGATTGATTTTATTGTTTAATATACTTTTTTCAGTTGATAGACTGTAAATACACACTACATCAAGTCATAGCACACTGCACTAACTCTACACTGACCTTTTGACCTCTTGAATGTGTGTAGAAATCATCCGGCCAGACGTCATTTCCAAACATGACATCATCATTGAGGTAAATAAACTTCTTAGACAGGCCAGGGATCTGATGTAAGTGGCTTTCAATAGCAGGGGAACTAAAGGATGGCAGATGAGAATGGTTTTGAAACAATTCCTGTAGTAAACCATAAAAAGGAAAACAAATACTATTTAGAACAAAAAGCTACAGATATCAACTTTGAAAACCTTTTTGCAAAATAATATTTAAAACCCATTTTTCATGATACAACTTAAAACATTGTTTTAGGATTGCTAGCAAACAGCAAATACGGGACTTTTCAGCTGTCAAATTGTTGACAGATATATAAATTCTAGACCTTCTGTCAATTGGATACAATAATGTAAACCGTGAAAATGATTATACAGATCGTTCAAACACAAACCTTGTGTGTTACAATTGTAACACGGGGGTTGTCTAAGTTCAGCCAAGATGGAATTTGACCGTTGGTGATGATGTATATATGCCGTACCCACGGGGTGTATCGTTCCACTGATCTGAGGGAGTATCGCAGCTCTTCATTGTCCTCGAATCTACTTGCTGACACATCCTCTTTATTATGGGTCTCCTCCTACATAATAAAACAACATGTAATTAAGCATTGAGAAAATGAACATGCTGAACCTTATCTATTTGAATTGTTATTTTCTTTCTTTCTCTCTTTCTTTATTCAATTTCTATAATTTACAAAATAAAAAAAAATTTAAAAAAATAGAGTTGCTAAATTAATTGACATGTTAGGCAGTGTGGAACCAGCAAATTATTATACATAATATTTACATATCTTAGTGTAGTTGTTTTTTTTGTTTTTTTTTACTTTTAAAATTTACACAAAAATTTCATCTATCCCACTATTGATAAAGGATGTAAAATGGGTAGAGCGAATAAACAAGTAGATGAACGAATAAACAAGTAGATGAATATATGAACTTATCTACTGGTAAATAGATTGATGAGCAGATGGAATTATGAAAGATGATTATAAGCCTGAATGATTATAATGATTATGAAATGCCTACAAACCTCCTCAATGTTCCATATAAGGTTCACAGCAACAATTTTCATATCATTTGCGTTGTCAGCAGTATGTTCACTCTACGGAAAAAATCAACATAAGATAATTATGAAACATATTTAATGCAACTATGTTAATATATATGCTTAAAATTTTCAATATCAACCATGTATTTAATGGGGGACTAGAACACATACACCCCTCTCTAACAAGTAACTATTACTATTTGGCAAATAAATATGTGTGCTCTGCACTACAGTGCACATATATTCCACTCTAAAGGCCAACTCTGACAGCGTCATAAGGCATAGCCCGACGCAATTTATTGTCCGGGACAGTTTTTAAGTCATCGTGAGAATATTAAATATGTTTTATATACGACACAAATGTCCCCAGCCTGTTTAACTCACACAGACCTGACGCAGCAACAAATCGTGTCAGGTTGCGTCGTACAACACTGTTTGAGTTGGCCCTTAGTCTAAGCTACATTTAGACTAGAGACACACGCCAGGTACGACTCTTCTTAGACTTTATGAAAGCCGACTTTAGAAATTTAGTATATATATAGTACTGTAAATTGAATTTTGACATAATTGTAGAATGATGTCAAATAAATGGCATTTGTGTTGCAAAGACAAAATAAACTGTAGTGTACAAAATTAATATTCATACAACTAATAACTGAAATGATTTATGGTTAGTATGGTAATTAATCACAAGAGAATCACAAATTTACTAATTGTAAAAACCATTTTAACGGACCTGGGAAAGGATAGATTTGAAAGCTTCTTCATCAGGAACCGTTATCAAGGCCAAACCCTCTGCCGTGTGGAGTTCAACCTGTCAGGAAAGAAACATTTTTGAAAATGTGAATATATAATCAACAAAATAAACAGATCATAATAAATATATTTAATAAAAATATTTTCAAAAAGAAAGGTTTTATTTTACTAAGTAGTAGAATGTTATGTCTTGAATCAAGTAATAAGGTCCTGGGCCCCAAAATACCTATAAATACCAGATTGTTTTTAAGACTAAAATATAATTGCATCCCCTAAATCTAAGCAAGTACTTAACAGACAACATTTGATCATGTTCGATTTTATCAGAATCTGCTGGTCTTTTAATTTTAGGCAACAATATCAGCAACATATGTCCATCTTAGTGTCGGCCAATCAGCATCAAGCTATACTGAAAGGTCATGTGACTGGTACTGGTATGGGCATTTATAATGTGCCTCTTCCTTGCAGTTATAAAGCACAGTTCTTTTCCCTGGTCATTGAGTCCACATGCTAAGTGTTGCTGCTGGTAATCAGCACAGGAGCAGGCAACCCCACCAGGTACCCATTTATACTCCTGGGTGGACAGAAACAATGCAGATAAAGTGTCTTGCTCAAGGACACAAGCAAAATGCAAGAGGGATTGAAATCCCAACCTCGAGGTTCGGAAACCAAACGGATCCCGCTGCACATACAATAGGCTATCATCACTCCTGGAGATGAGTATAGCAATCTATTCAAAATGTTACATATTCTCAAAACTTACCAGTTCTTTTCAGAACTACCCAAGTGGTTTACTGCAAATGTTTCAAACGATGGGAATGTAATGTTTGTATTTTTACCTCAGTGATCTTCTCTCTTAAGTTGTCCTCAGTGACAATGTTTCTAACTTGCACCTGAGTTGTGTTCTTGCCAACACCAGTCACCATTAGTCTGTCTTTCAGCAACATTGTGCTGTCACCGGTCAACTCACTAGTCTACCAATCAAAAAGTAATAATAGAATGTATATTTTTTAGTATCTTGTAAGACATTATTAGTATTTATTTTCCAATTCAATGACTTTGATACAGAAAATAGTCATCATTTTTTGTTCCATTTAATAAGCTGTGATCTAATGATAAGCTGTGATCTCGAAAAATTGAACTATACAAAAAGTTTTTCTCTTAGTCACCATATACAGTAGTTAAATGTCATTATATAAACAATTTCAAGTGGTGGATTTCTGCAAAGCCATAGAATTATCAGATAAAAATTGTTATATGTTATGATTGATAGTGATACTTTTTTTCTAGCAGCGATAATACTGAAAGAGAAGCACTAGGTTTGGATGATTGGTGGGTTATTCTGTGTGCACTAACTCATTACTTATTATATATATTTAATAACCTAGGTCATACTCATACATACATGTTTGTAAATCATAGCATGGTTTGAGGTTTTGAATTTGTATGCTGTAAACACTTGGTAATTAAAGATAACTTGAAGATTTCACCTTTATCTGACCTTACGGTATAACTTTACATGAACAGGTCATACCTTAATAATCCCTAATATTGAGATATGAATAAAATTACAATTTTTAAAAATCTTTCAATACTTACAATATAGACTCTGTAGAAAGTGAGATTTTTACCCCCCATAGTCAGAAACTTTGTATCTTTCAATATACTATCAACTACAAAAAGAATGAAAACAAAACAAAAGATTACAATAAAACATTCTCATTAATTGGGAATAAATCGATGCAAGACTTTTAGGCAAGACCTTTTAATACCTTCTTTAGCGAACCTGCCAACTGCAAATATTGATGATTTTGAATACAAATAACATTTTATTTTTGGCCAAGTGGAAAAAAGTGGCAAAAGAGTGGAAATTTCAGAAAAAATAAAGTTTTTAAAATTTTTATTATGCCCTCTGCTGCCTTGAAATCTCCAAAGAAAAGACATGTATATCACTTCCTAACTATATAAATTTGAAGCATTTAACCATACTATTTTACATTCACCAATAAAATTTTAATTTAATTTTCTCCTCTGTCTGGATGTTTTTGGCAAATCAATTTGCTAAGTAAGAAAACAAAATTTCATTTTTATTTTTATTCTGCCTCCTCCGATGATCTTTAAACAGATAAGTATGTGAAACAACGAATAAAATAAGTCTTGCCTTAAAACAAGTTTAAATTACTCCTATTAAGTAATAAAAAGTGAATTTCATTAATATTTATCAGTCAAATAAATCAATGCAAAAATACATGAAAAGAGTGGAAGTTATCATTTACTTTATGTTAACAAGAAAAGGATTATAAAGAAATATTCTCAAACCCCAAAATAAATGGATGAAATTACAAAAAAATAACATACTTATAGAGAGTCAGCAGCAGATTTCAAGACTTACCTTCTTCTTGGTTAGAAAACTCTGCCAAAGTGTATGTTGGCCCGCCATCTTTAGTTACAGTCTTATTGAATAATTGTGTTATTTTTGAAAATGTTGGATTATAGAGTGATAGCTGGTCACTGGTTACTGCTAAAGGAAGAACCTTACTGAATATTAACATTTTAGCAGGAATACAGTTTTTCTTTTTACAATGTATATACCTGAAAAAAAACAAAAAAAAAACATATATCTAAAGTCAAGGAGTAAAAGTTAATATGTAATCTCAATTGTTATTAATATTAGGCAAGACTTTTTTATGCCTTGTTTAGTGAACCCACCGCCCACCAATAATGATGATTTCAAATAAAAATAACATTTTATTTTTGGCCAATTAGCACACCCGCTGCCAAAAAAAAATTGAAAATTCAGAAAAAAATAAAACTTTTTCTTTATTTTCGTTACGCCCACTGCTGCCTTGAAATCTCCAAAAAAAAAAATATATGTAATTTCTCCCTAAATATATAAATTTAAAGCATATAACCACCCCATTACTACACTGTTTACATTTAGCAATAACATTTTATTTTTATTTTCTCCTCCATCTGCATGTTTTTTTACAAATCTATTTGCTAAATAAGAAAATAAAATTATATTTTTATTTTTTTCCGCCCTCCTCTGACGATCTTTAAAAAAATAAGTTTGCAAAACAAAGTATAAAATAAGTCTCGCCTTATAATATTTATTTTAATCTAAGCACTAATATATATGAACAGCATCAACTACCACTTTACAATTTTAATATTAATTAATTTACAATCATTTCTTTGTTTTCTGTTGCACCTCAAAAAGGTACCTGGGACTTCTAAAAAAACCAATACTTCTATGCCAAACGTCCCACACAGATTGGATTGGATTTATTCGGTGTCAATACCAACGATAGCCCACGAAAGTCTAGAAGAAGACATATTTAAAAGTGGGGTCCTTCTGGAGGTGGTTGGGCAGTACTGTACACCGGGAGACAATCCCCTACTCTTTTCCAAAGAGTGTACTGCATTCTTTAACATGCACATGGGCCATAAATGCGCACAGGATCAATGGCTTAAACGTCTCATCTGGAAGACTGTGCGCTATTGTAACTTGTATTTCTGCCCTCCAGCTGAAACACAAGGAGAGGCAGCGATGGGAATTGAACAGGAGACCTAGAGATCTCCACGGTTCAGCGCACACACAGTGGCTACCACCAGTTTAGCCGACTGAGCTAAGCTGCACTCACACATCAAAATTACAAAGAACAAAGGCAATACAAGGACAAAATCCCAAAAATATACAATGCAATAAAGACTAAAATATTAAAATTGACCATAAATATAAGCATTGAATCTATAAAAAGTGTGAAGAGAGCAAGTAATGGCAATATTCTTAACTCTATTTAGAAGTGATGAGCAAATCACAGGAAAATGATTAAATATTGTATGTTGTAGGTCAAATGATAGGGCACATGGGTGGATGAAAATAAGAGATTCAATGTGATGAGAGTTAATGCACTACAGATGTTATGCTTGTACTGTATAAGTATCTAACACAAATGAGGTTAAAATAATTTCAATTGGTTTTTGTAAATAAAGTTTTCTTAAAACCAATAATAATATGAAGTAAGCAAATTTTAATGTCTGACATAAACATAATGTAAACTTTCATCCTGTGGTCATGTCAAATAATCAATATGACAATAGGTTTCATTTCAGATTAATAAAGTGTGTTTTAATATCCTAAATATGCTAATTTATACTGTGTTAATAAAGACAGGTGAGGTGGTTTCATTTTTAAATGCTTAAAATAAATAATGTATCAATTGAACATGCATAAACGTGCAAGCAAATATTGTTATTCCAGCATGTATTGTAATTAACAAGAGCAGCAAATACTACATGGCATATAACAATGTGAACAGTGAGATGCTGTAAATTGAATGAAGTGTTACCACTTATTACATTTTTTCACTTCCCATTCCAAGAAAGTATCAATGTCAAGTACACGATGGACCCTGGGATTCTCATGAGAGACTAACAATTGATACACAAGACATAAAATGTTACATGCATCCCGTGCTAGATTAAAATCTCTTCTATGAATTTGTGTGACAGTACATCTGTGAAAATCAGCATTATGTCCTGTGTAATAATATCCATTTAAAAAACCGTCATCGCAGAGGACAGTAAACACTCCAAATATACTCAAATATACTTACTGTAGCAGTGATCTGTGAGCAACTGCAGGGCTTATCTTTCATTGTGGTGTTTCATGTGTCTTTATTGTCTGCATATTAATTGTACCGACTTTTAGCATAATTTAAATTCACAAACAAAAACCTAAACTTACTTTGTTCCATTCTTTGATAATACACCATTGCTATACAAAAAATAATTAGAAAAGTTAATAGTTAAAGTTTCTTGTTATAGATAATTACAAAGACATAATTAAGACATTAAAATTTATTGGCTGAAGACTATTAGTCACCAAGAATTGTATGCTTTTACAAATCAAAGTACATTAACAAATATGATAAATAAATCGTGATAGAGCATGCTCAGACACATTTTGAAAAAATTCTCCTGCTTTCACTGCAATGGTTTTTGCACTCGGGGAGCAAACAAATTTGAAGCCCGCCTTAGTAGGCCGCAAACCAATTATCTATATTACCATATTAAATTTTGAAGTATTTTAACTGTTTTTTAATAGGACTCCTGACCCTGACCTTCTGGGCTTAGATGAAATTGAATAGGTATTACCCTTTTTAAATATTATGATTTAAATTTTTAAAAAATATATTTTAAATAAAAACATACTTTGTTGAATTAATAGCATGTGCTATATGCTGTGCCTTAACTCGATTTAAATCTTCTATAAGTCTTGGGTCAGATCCATTTACCCATGTATAAACTATATCAATAGGAATCGGCAAACACATCCTACAGTAGATAGAAAACAAAGTCAATTTCATATTATATATCATAAGCTAATTACTATGACCTCTGAACCCTGACAATTTACAACCAAAATCAATGTTTGAGGCTTGGAGAGTGAATGTCCACACTATCTAATTCTATGTGACAAAAAATGTGATAACCAAAAGGTCCACTGATTAATCTCATATAAGAAAGTATAATACATACTCCAAGTATTGAAATACACGCCATCGTGTTTGGATTCAATATTTCGACATTAATTATGTCATCATCAGGAATGAAAAAATTATCCATATTAGCAAACTTATATGCACTAGTACCAAAAGTGTTTAACCAATCAAAACATTACCACTAGTAGGTGACAAAGGCTATGTTCACACACACGGCGTAAGACTGGCGTAGCTTACGCCAGGCGTAAGCTAATTCACGGATTAAAATTCCAAAGTGTTCACACAAACGGCGTTCGCTATATTAACGCTGGCGTTAAACTAGTAGTAATATAGGCCTATGGGGGAATAGCTTTAAGTTTTGAATAATGTACGGGTTCTTAACTGTAGTAAAATTAACAGTGTGTCAGTAAAACTTTTAAATCTGTGAATTGTTCGAAGTGAACTTAATGATTATTGTATTTTAAATGAACAATTTTACTTTGATTTTTC